AAAATGACTCTTCCTCTTCCTGTCTTAGTTATCTAGCGCTGCTACAACAGAAATACTTCAAGTGGATGGCTTTAATAAACAGCACTTTATTCTCTCATCGTCTAGGTGGCTAGAAGTCCGAATTCAGGGTGCCAGCTCCAGGGGAAGGCTTTCTCTTTTTGTCGGCTCTTGGGTAAGGTCCTTGTCATCAATCTTCCTCTGGTCTAGGAACTTTTCAGTGCAGGGACCCCAGGTCCAAAGGACATGTGCTCCTGGCTCTTCTTGCTTGGTGGTAATGAGGTACCCCATGTCTTTCTGCTCACTTCTCTCTTTTATATCTCAAAAGAGATTGACTAAAAACATAACCGAATCCTGTAGATTGAGTTCTCCCTCATTAACATAACTGCCTCTAATCCTGCCTCATTAACATCATACGGGTAGGAGTTACAAAACATAGGAAAATCACATCAGATGACAAAATGGTGGGCAATCACACAACACTGGGAATCACGGCCTAGCCAAGTTGACACATATTTTGGGGGGACACAATTCAATCCATGATAGTAACCTTTTCTGATTCTCTCTCCCCTGTAGCAGGCAGAATTAATATCGCCAGCCAATCTGAACTCATTTTGTGTTATCAGCCCCCTCCAGGCACACTGATCATCTTTTGGTTCCTCTAGCTCATCATTCTACCTGGAATTCTTTTTTTTTTTTTTTTTGGTGAAAATATACACAACAAAACATATACCACTTCGACAATTTCTACATGTACAATTCAATGACATTGGTTACATTCTTCAAGTTGTGTCACCTTTCTCGACAATCTTTTCCAAACTATTTCACCATCTTTAACACAAAATCACTGCCCCCCTAAGGTTCTCATCTAACCTTTCAAGTTGCTGTTGTCAATTTGATCACATTTAGAGAGTTTTTTAAGAGTATAATGCTTAACACAGACATTCTTTTCCAATTAGACTAAACCATTATTTAGACACACATCTGTTAGTTTGTCATACGGTGGTAGCTTGCATGTTGTTGTGATACCGGAAGCTTTGCCACTGGTACTTCAAATACCAGCAGGGGCACATCTGGTAGACAGGTTTCAGTGGAGCTTCCAGACTAAGATAGACTAGGAAGAAGGACCTGGAAGTCTACTTCTGAAAAAATTGGCCAGTGAAAACCTTATGAATGCACCAGAAAATTGTCTGATACAGTGCCAGAAGATAAGCCTCTCAGGTTGGAAGGCGCTCAAAAGACAATTGGGGAAGAGCTGCCTCCTTAAAGTAGAGTCAGCCTTAATGACGTGGATGGAGTCAAGCTTTCGGGACTTCCTTCTGCTGATGTGGCACAACTCAAAATGAAAAGAAACAGCTGCAAACATCCGTTAATAATCAGAACATGAAATGTATTAAGCATGAATCTAGGAAAATTGGAAGTCATCAAAAACGAAATGGAATGCATAAAGATTGATATCCTAGGCATTAGTGAGCTGAAAGGGACTGGTATTGACCGTTGTAATGGTCTACTATGCCGGGAATGACAAATTGAAGAGCAGTGGCATCAAGTTTATCATTAAAAAGAACACTTCAAGATCTAACCTGAAATACAACGCTGTCAGTGATAGGATAATATCCATACACCTACAAGGAAGGACAGTTAATACAACTATTATTCAAATTTACACACCAACCACTAACGCCAAAAATAAGGAAATTGAAGATTTTTACCAACTTCTGCAGTCTAAAACTGATCAAACACGCAATCAAGATGCACTGATAATTACCGGTGATTGGAATGCGAAAGTTGAAAATGAAAAAGAAGGATTGGTAGCTGGAAAATATGGCCTTAGTGATAGAAATGACACTGGAGATCACATGATAGAATTTTGCAAGACCAATGACTTATTCATTGTAAATACCTTTTTTCAACAACATAAATGGTAACTATACACATGGACCTCACCGGATGGAAAACCAAGGAATCAAATTGACTACATCTGTGGAAAGAGATGATGGAAATCTCAATATCATCAGTCAGAACAAAGCCAGGGGCTGACTGCAGAACAGATTATCAATTCCTCATAGCAAGTTGAAGGTGAAGTTGAAGAAAATTAGAACAAGTCCAGGAGCACCAAAGTATTTCCTTGAGTATATCCCACCTGAATTTAAAGACCATCTGTCATGGATTGAATTGTGTCCCCCAAAAAATCTGTGTAGGAACTTGGCTAGGTCACAATTCCCAGTATTGTATGATTGTGTTATCTGATGTGATTTCCTAATGTGTTGTAAACTCTACCACTATGATGAGATTATATGTGATCTCCTCATGTGTTGTAAATTCTGTCACTGTGATGAGGTTATACTGATGAGGTTGACAAGATTACTGTCTTAATGCAATCTCTTTTGAGATATAAAAGAGAGAAGCGAGCAGTGACACATGGGAACCTCACACCACCAAGAAAGCAGTGCTGGGAGCAGAGCGTGCCCTTTGGACCTGAGGTTCCTGCACAGAGAAGCTCCCAGACCAAAGGAAGACTGATGACATGGACTTTCCTCCAGAGCTGACAGAGAAAGTGTTCCCCTGGAGCTGATGCCCTGAATTTGGACTTGTAGCCTACTGGACTGTGAGAGAATAAATTTCTCTTTGTTAAAACCATCCACTTGCGGTATTTCTGTTGGAGCAGCACTAGATGACTAAGACACCATCTCAAGAATAGATCTGACACACTGAATACTAATGACGAAGACCAAAGAGTTCTGGAATGGCATTAAGGACAACATACATGAAAAAAGCAAGATGTCATTAAAAAAGACAGGAAAGAAAGAAAAGACCTATCTGGATGTCAGAAGAGACTCTGAAACTTGCTCTTGAACACAGAGTAGCTAAAACGAAAGAAAGAAACGATGAAGTAAAAGAGATGAACAGAAGATTTCAAAGGGCGGCTTGAGAAAACAAAGCAAAGTATTATGATGAAACGTGCAAAGACCTGGAGTTAGTAAAACAAAAGGAAAGAATATGCTCAGTATTTCTCAAGCTGAAAAAGCTGAAGAAAAAATTCAAGCCTGGAGTTGCAATTTTGAAGGATTCTACAGACAAAATATTGAATGACACAGGAAGCATCAAAAGCAGATGGAAGGAATACACAGTCACTGTACCAAAAAGAATTAGTCGATATTCAACCATTTCAGAAGGTAGCATAGATCAAGAACCGATGGTATTGAAGGAAGAAATCCAAGCTGCACTGAAGGCATTGACAAAAAACAAGGCTCCAGGAGTTGACAGAATACCAAATGAGCACTGAAGTGCTCACTCGTCTATGCCAAGGAATTTGGAAGACAGCTACCTGGCCAATTGACTGGAAGAGATCCATATTTGTGTCCATTCCAAAGAAAGGTGATCCAACTGAATGCAGAAATTATTGAACAATATCATTAATATCACACACAAGTAAAATTTTGCTGGAGATCATTCAAAAGCGGTTGCAGTAGTACATCAACAGAGAACTGCCAGAAGTTCAGAACGAGGAATGTTGTTGCTGATGTCAGATAGATCTTGGCTGGAAGCAGAAAATATTAGAAAGATGTTTACCTGTGGTTTATTGACTATGCAAAGGCATTCAACTGTGTGGATCACAACAAATTATAGATAACATTGCAAAGAATGGGAATTCCAGAACACTTAATTGTGCTCATGAGGAACCTGTACATAGATCAAGAGGCAGTTGCTCAATCAGAACAAGGTGATACTGCATGTTTTAAAGTCAGGACAGGTGTGCATCAGGGTTGTATCCTTTCCCCATACCTATTCAATCTGTATGCTGAGCAAATAATCTGAGAAACTGGACTATATGAAGAAGAACAGGGCATTAAGATTGGAGGAAGACTCATTAACAACCTGCAATAAGCAGATGACACAACTTAGCTTGCTGAAAGTGAAGAGGACTTGAAGCACTTACTGATGAAAATCAAAGGCCACAGCCTTCAATATGGATTACACTTCAACATAAAGAAAACCAAAATCCTCACAACTGGACCAATAAGCAACATCATGATAAACAGAGCAACGACTGAAGTTGTCAAGGATTTCATTTTACTTGGATCCACAATCAACACCCATGGAAGCAGCAGTCAAGAAATCAAAGGACGCGTTGCACTGGGCAAATCTGCTGCAAAAGACCTCTTTAAAGTGTTCAAAAGCAAAGATGTCACTTTGAGGGCCAAGGTGCGCCTGACCTTAGTTCTCTGTTGGCGGTTCTCTGTTGATGTACTGCTGCAACCGCTTTTGAATGACCTCCAGCAAAATTTTACTTGCGTGTGATATTAATGATATTGTTCGATAATTTCCACATTGAGTTGGATCATCTTTCTTTGGAATGGGCACAAACATGGATCTCTTCCATGATATTTTCAATCACCTCATATGCATGGAAAGCTGGACAATGAATAAGGAATACCGGAGAAGAATGAACGCCTTTTAATTTTGATATTGACGAAGAATATTGAATATACCATGGTCTGCCAGAAGAATGAAGGAATCTGTCTTGGAAGAAATACAGCCAGAATGCTCCTTAGAAGCAAGGATGGCAGCCTGGGATTGAGGAGATTGACTGGGACCAGAGGATTGGGCCCTCAGGTCTCCCTCCAGACAGATACCCACAACACTGTTCCACTGTTCCTTTCTCCACCACCTGCAGGCTGTTTAGGAGTCCCTGGGTGGTACAAATAGTTAAGCACTGACTACTCACCAAAAGGTTGGCAGTTTGAACCCACCTAGAAGTACCTCGGAAGAAAGCCTGGCGATCTGCTCCCATGGCGCGCAGTTCTACTCCGCAACATCTGGGGTCGCCACGCGTCAGAACGACTTCACCACAATAGTTTTTGGTTTTGGTTTTGGTTTTGGTTTTGTTTTTAGCTGGTTGCTTAGCAACCGGCCGCACTCCCACCTCTCCGCCACCACTAGAGGGCGAGCGGGCGGAGGTAACGTGGGCGCGCGTGCGCGCGCGTGAGTGGGTGGACGCCTGCGCAGCATGGGCCGGCGCGTGGTACGTCACTTCCTGTTTCTTTAGGGGAACGTGGCTTTCCCTGCAGTGCTTATTTCGCTGTCTGCGTGTGTGCTGCAGAGCCTGTAGCTGGAGTCGTACCCCGAGCGCAGCCTCGCCATGGATTCAGCCCTCCCCGACCCGCATAACGGCAGCGCCGAGGCAGGCAGCCCGACCAACGGCACGACGCGGCCGCCGTCCACGCCCGAGGGCATCGCGCTGGCCTACGGCAGCCTCTTGCTCATGGCGCTGCTGCCCATCTTTTTCGGCGCCCTGCGCTCAGTGCGCTGCGCGCACGGCAAGGTAGGATCAGCGGCAAAACCGGGGGCTTCCCGTTCATCATCCCAGGCTGACATGGACCCTCCCTCTGCCCACTGTAGACGGGACAGACACCACCCTTCCCCGGACACTGGCCCTTCCCAGCATTGATCACCACTGGCTCACCCTCCCGGGTCCGCATCCCGGGCTGACTTTTGATCCCCAGCATCTGGCATCAACCCCCGAACTGACACCGAGTACTGACACCTTCCTACCCGGACCCAGACACACCCATCCCTCCGTGCTTCATGCCTGCGCTGGTATCAGTGTCGGCTGACCCTCACACTGGGATTCGGGATTCTGAACCTCCTGGACCCAGCCAGACCTGCCCCATCCCGGGCTCTGGGTCCCAGATCTGTAACTGATGGGGTACTGGTCTCGTAGAGCTTCTGAATGGTACAATCCCTTGTCATCCCTCAGTTAGGAACCCCGCCTCGCCCCACCCCGGCTCCAGCTCTGACATCCAGACCCAGCTGAGACTCTGACTCCTGTCTAGCTTCAATCTTTGACCCGGCGTGTGCTGTCCCAGAACCCCCAGATCAGTCCCTTACCTCTGCCTCAAAAAAAAATTAACCCAGGCGTATAGCCCCAGTTGTCCCCCAGGTTTTCACAACACTTTTGTGGAACCAGTCCGGTCAGCCAGCCTCTCAGAACCCGGCACCTCTGTGCCTCTTTTTAACCAGGCATGGACCCCGTATTCTGCTGGTTCCTCTTTCCAGTTACTACACAATCTTGGACCTGCATCTTGTCCCTGCCTGAGCCCAAACGGTGTTACTACCCCAGCCCCTGACTGCCTCAGGATGATCTTTCTACCCATCCTACCTAAGACAATCCTTCTGCGAAATTGGGCCTAGCTCCTGTTGACCTCTCTTGCGAGACTGGGCCAGACCCTATCTTTGGCCTTCCTTGTCATCTGTCCCATTGGACACCTAAGAGGACACCTGCACCTCCATCTTTTGCCTCCTCTGCTTCTGCCCTATATGAAGGCCTCTGTAGCCCATTGCACTGATGGCTTCTCACTTCCTGGGACCTTCTGCCCTCCCCCCCACTGCTCCTCCCCCACCCAGACCTGCAGACCCAAGCGGAAGCTGTCTCACCCAAAGAGGGCAGGCCCACAAAACAGCTGCCACTTTTGAAAGCCTGGGTTCTCAAAACTGCTTAGTTTGAGTAATGACTGAGGCCTGCCTCTATCCTTCTCCAAGAGCAGACGACTTGCTGCTGACTTGCTCAGTAGTCAGAGTAGTTAGGCAGGCTTAGGCTCAGAGCTGACCCCTTTCTCCTTACTGTTATGCCTCTTCTAAGTAGGGTTCAAGTGTCCTTAAGCCTCCCTGCCATGCCTCTTGGGCAGACACTTACCTCAGGGAGAAGTTCTGAAATACACTAGGACAGAGGAGGTGATGGGCAGCATGGTATAAGGCAGGGCAGCTTGATCTGAGCGGCTCTCAACTGACCAATTCTCCTTGGCACCTTCTGCACATGGATTAGTAATCGCTTCAGAAAACACCTTCTAGAAAACAGAATTCCCTAAACACCCACTGTTGTCTTGGCTAGGGGGGATGCTTCTGTGAAGATGAATGTGCCAGTGCCCGGTCACCTAGGAATTTAGGGGTCTGGATGAGGGAGGAATAACCAGATCTGTGATAATACAAGTAGTATACAAGTAGTGCTTAGAGTTGAGGGAGCAGAATTGAGCACATCTGGGGCAGAGCGGGGAGGCTTTGTATTGGAGGTGGGCTTGAGCCTGAAGTAGAGGAAACCCGTAAGCAGAGGTGTGGAGGCAAGAAGATGCAAGGCAACTCAGGAGCAAGTGGAAGGCCTGGTGTGGCTGGAGCAGAGAGTATGGAGAGACAAGAGCTTAGATCCACTGTAGCACTGAAATACTTGCCCACACATCTCTGATGGGGTTGGAAGGCTGCATGCGAAGTTGCATAGTCTTAATAGCTTCCACCACCAATAACCATGATGCTCACTTTAATCTTCAAAGCACTTTACCATTCTTTGATTCTCATACCACTGAGTGTGGTAGGCAGAGCCAGTTTTATTGTCCCCATTGTATAGCAAAAGAAACAGAGTCGAAGAAATAACTTCCCAAGATCACTCAGCCAGTTAGGGGTACCTATCCAAGGCTGTCTCCTTAATACCAGATACCTCTAAAGACCCACATGGTGGCATTTTGGCCTAGGGAAAGGACCAGGCCAAATGACTCATTTTCTGCCCTCAGTCAAGTTTCCTTGGTCATTTGGCAAGGAAAAGGAAAAATTATTGTGGGGTTCAGGAGATTTTCCACCATTGTTAGACCCCAAAGCCAACTGAAAAGGAGCGTGTGGGGGCAGAATTCTTCCTGGGACCAAGGAGCCACACTCGGTAGGCGTCCATAACAGGCGGGGTGGGGGAATTGTGAAATCGTGAGGAGAAGAAGGTGGAACATCCAGGAGTATGTTGGGAAGACATAGCCTTGGGAGGAACAGCATTAGAGTGGTGCCTTTCCTGCCAGAGACCTATGTCTCTCAACATCACCGGGAGAATAGAGGAAGCACTATCTTGTTCATTCTCCCCAAAGGGAGTGAATCCCTGCCCGAACAGTAGCTGCCCATCAGATTGGTATAGAGTCCCTTGGCCAACGGGTTTGGATGCCTGCTCTGTGCCTGGGCTGGGCTGGGCTGGCTACCAGGGGTGCAGGGACAAAGAAGGCCAAGTCCGGCCCGCCCAGAGCTCACAGTCACCAAGGAGAAACAGACGAGTGATCGGCCAACTAGATTGAATGCTGATATGCTCCTGGAGGAGACAGCCGTTACCTCTGCAGGGATGGGTGAGAGTTCAGCAGGCAGAACAGGAAGAGGAGGAGGCATGGGACCCCAAGGGCTTAGGGAGGTAGTGAGTAGCGTGACATGAGCCAGTGCAGGGCTTGGATGTGGGAGACAAGGAGACCCTTAGAAGCTTAGGGCCTTTCTGAGGAACAGAATCCTGAAGGCAAGGTAACAGTTAATCTTTGTAGTTACAAAAATACTACACACTTGTAAAAAATTGAACAAGGCAAAAAAAAAAAAAATTGAACAAGGCACTACTCACTGGAAGTAACCCAATTTGCTATTTGGTGTGTAACCTTCCACAGTTTTTTCTGTAGACAAACTTTATGTATGTGCCTGTTTATGTATACATATATATTTTTATTTTTGTAAGAGTATATATGTATATACACATGCACGTTCTACTCTTGTAAAAATATATCTGTTTATACACATGAGGTTATGTAGTACATATGGCTCCGCAGCTTGATTTTTTTTCCCCCATTTAACAATAAATCTTGGTCGTTTTTCTACGTCAGTACCTATAGATCTGCCTCATTCTTCTCTGGCAGGGACGGTAGGCAACGCATGCCTGTGGTACAGAATTCAGAAGGTACAAAGAGGTGCACAGTGGAAGTCTCCCACCCACCCTAGCTGCCTACTTTCTCTCCCTAGAGGCAGCCCGTGTTACCTGTTTCTCAGATCTCCATCTAGAGAGATCTCTGCCTGTTTTACAAATAAATCCCAGTTGCCGTCAAGTCAACTCTTGACTCATGGCGACCCCATGTGTGTCAGAGTAGAACTGCTTGTCAATGGCTACTTTTTCTAAAGTAGATCACTAGGCCTTTCTTCCGAGTCACCTCTGGGTGGACTTGGACATCCAGCCTTTCAGTTAGCAGCCAAGCATGTTAACTGTTTGTACCACCCAAATAATTAAGCCTATGCTTTCCTCCATTTTTGTTTAGAACTGTTTGTTTTGTTATGTGTACATCCTTTTTTGCATCTTTCTTTTTCACTTAAGTGTTGGAGATCAAATCATGCAGTACATAGTATTCAAGTTCCCTTTTAACAGCTGTGTGCTATCCCACCCTTTGTTTAGAGCAGTGGTTCTCATAAGTCCGCAGATGAGCAGCAGCAACATCACGTGGGAACTCGTTAGAAATGCAAATTCTGAATCAAACTCTGGGGGTGGGCCCAGCAATGTGCGTTTTAACGAGGCCCCAAGGTGTGTGTTCGAGTTTAAGAACCCCTGTTTTAGAGTCCTCCACTGGTCATTTAGGCTGTTTCAATCTTTTGCTAGCACAGACTATGCAGAAACTAATGTCCTTACACGTTTGTCATTTCACGCTTGTCTGTAGGGTAAATTCCTTGAACTTGATTTGCTTGGTGAAAGGCTATGTGCATTTTGGATTTTGATATGTTTTACCAAAACTGCCCACCATAGAGGTTATATCCGTTTACACTGTCACCAGAAATGACCTCGGTTCTTGTGTACAAGCCGCACAGTAGTCCGTTCTCCGGACGTATTTAAGCAGGCATGGGATGTGATCGGGTGTAGGCTTTAGAAGGGCTCCCTGAAGGGTAGGTGATAGGCAGGTAAGAGAACAGCAGGCAGGCTGGTGCAGGCGTCAGATCGGGGTGAAGACAGCAGTGGGGGCCAAAGGACCTGGGGAGGGGGGCTTGAGAAGTTTAGGGAGCAGAATTATGGAGAGTTGAGTAAGTGAATATGGAAGTGAGGGGAGAAGACCCTGAGATCTTCAGCTGGGACAGAGCAACAGAAGGATTTGTGAATTCCACATCGTTTCTAGGGCATGGCCTGGAAGCAGGACTCCCAGAGCTCAAGCTGAGCCAATGACTAGAAGCTCAGCTGAGCCAATGACTAGAAGCTCGGCATCTGTCTTCCCTTATTGCTTTTGCTTCCACCTGGTAACTGAACATCCAGAATGTCTTTGGAAGCTAAATTTATCTCTTCTGTTTGTGTCAGTCCCGCCCCCCTCCCCCCCCCAATTATGTTTTGTGTTTTAGTAGCTATTGCATTTGAGGCAGTTCTACTCTGTCCTGTAGGGTTGCTATGAGTCGGGATCAACTCGATGGCAACGTGTTTTGTTTGTTTGTTGCATTTGTGTTAGGGCGTCTGGGAGGAACAGCATTAGAGTGGTGCCTTTCCTGCCAGAGACCTATGTCTCTCAACATCACCGG